ACCAAGGAACTAATGTGTAACACCTTTCTACACAAGGGTGCATAGCTCAAAACGAGAGCAAGGAGTTCATTCTTCTGGAAAGAATTAGTCCGCATGTTAAGAATCCTCTGTAAGGCTAGTGGGACAAGCCTAGGCAACACCTGCTAGACTAGTCTTCATTACACTGCCAAGCTGAAGTGGGATTTGCTTATCTGCAGTGTTTACACAGCTGATGGACTGGGAAAGGAGGAATGCCTCCCTACTCCCCTTCAGCCCTGGAGTATTGTCAGAGCCCATTTTCCAGTTTCAGAGGGCATTCCCCCAGTTTCTCCAACTAGTTTAAATGGGCAGATGCCATAAGAGGTAGTAGATATTTGCAGAAGTGGAGATCCTCTCCCCTGCAGGATGGTAGCATCAGAATTACCCAGGCAAAAGTGTGGGTTAGGGGCCTTTAGTGCCCCCTTCCCTCAAAAAGGAGGACAAAAACCAAACAACACACTGATGATTGACAGAGGATTCAAATCCAGAGCATGTGTGTCTCGGATCAGGATGAGATCTAAATCCCCAGCACTGGTTGGGGTAGGGGGCAGAAACTGGACATCTAGATGGATTAAAGTACCAAAGAGGCCAGTTCAGATTTGAACTCGACAGCCAAGCCAAGGACATTAAGAAGAAAAACAAAAAAAAAAAAAACAGCCCACCAATGAAGGACATGTCATTTTGAGACTAGACTTTATTTCAGTTTAAACCAGTTATACAGTAAGACAATTTCACCACCTCAGTGCAATTGGAGAAACCACAGAATAAAGAGTCTTTAGACAAGTGCTAGGAGAGGGTATGGTCTGTACAAAAAGGAAACGAGATAATTCACTAGGATGCAGAGGGCAGACATTGTGCAGCAGCTAACCATTACTGAAGTTATGCCTTCCCTTAGGAGGAGGCTGAAGAAAGTGTTCACCTGGTACCTGCACTTCAGTATTTTGTTTGCCTTTAGCCAGCATCCTGGCACACAATGAAGTATTATTATTAGCACCACTGCATCACTAAAACACTTCAGTAGACAAGGAAGCCGTCAAAAAAAAAGAGAGAGGCAACCTATGACATGGAGGAAGCCAAAATGGGTTATTGTGCTTTCCATTGGTTGGGCATCCAGCCATTTGGTAACCACCAGATTACAAAATAGTGCAATATTCACTCATGAGAAGAGAAAAAAAAAATACAAAAGTGTTAACAAACAGCAAGACACTCAGGTAGGCTAAACAAGATACCATCTTGGGACCAATAGCAGAGTTACCTGCAGTTAGAGATAAATTTGTGCTCACCCAGACTGTCCCGCATTGATCTGCTGGTGCAACACACACAAAGCCATGCTTAAACCAAGTAGTTGTTCTAGCTCTCCATGGGACAGAAGTCACTTTTTCCAACCAGGCTTAAATTCTCCCTTCATGACTTCCTACTCTACTTGTAGCCATTTGTCTAGTCTACTGATGGTCTACCAACTAGCATAATGGTGGTGTTGGAGATTTCTTCTTTAAAGGGGACAGGTAAAAAAGGTTTGCACTTGATCTGGTACAGAAAAACTGTACATAAATCTTTCAAGGATGCCTTCAAAAAGTGCCACTAGGGGCCCGATTAGCATCAACTAATCTAGGCCTGAAAAGCTGACCACACACTTCCTTCCCCACAGGCAAGTCTTCTGCTTGTGTCCATACTACCAGTGAGGCTGAGAAGCTCTGGCATTTGAAGAGCTGGACAGCACCTGGGCTTAACACACACCCGGCATCCAGGACAGCCAAGAAACTCCTATAAAGAAATCAAGTCACACCTTAAGGGAAAAAAGTGTAGCCATCTGTACTGAACAGCAGCTTAATATTCTAGTGGTCAGTCACAAGGACCAAATCTTGTGATTGAGCACATGACAGCATTGCGAGCCAGATTAAAACCCTCACTCAACCCTGTTAGAGCTTTAATACAATTAAGAATGAGCCTTCAGTCCGAAGCCTCCATTAAGACAGTTATAGCAGTCTTTAATAGCATGGCACAGATCTAAGCTGGTAGTGTGTGGTCCCTTAGAGATGTGTGGACACTGCTGACTCAAGTCATCCCCAGGAAAAACTTCACTCTACGGGGGGCAGGAGGGTGGACTTATTACTGGAGAGCTGGCAAGTCAACTCATTTTCCCTGCTGCCTCAGGAGTTTAAAAAAAGTGGCCAGAAGTGGTCTAGTGCAACAAGCCCTTCTACTCGCACCTCGAGCAGCACATAGGATGAGCATCTTCCCCTCCTTTTTACATGCAGCACTTGCCAGCTTATGAAACAGAGCTGCACCTCCTCTGCTTTAGGGCTGGGTATTAAAGTGCCTTGTTCACTGTCAAGTAGGCAAGTCAGGAGTACGGCTGCAGGGGAGGACTCTTTAGGAGACTGCCTGGAAGTTCTCCGTCTTTGTTTCTGCCTGGCAGGCAGGCAGCCAAACAGCTAAGGCACCTGCAGGCCTCATGCCAGGAGTAGTCCTTTGAATCATCTGCACAAAGACACGAGAGGAGAATAAGACTGGGAAGGTTTGCTGTGGCAGTGTCCAACTGCTCTTTGAGCATGTTCTGTGCTTGATGCAAGACTGGAGGCAAGAAGTCTAGTTCTCAACTGGATGCATCTGAGAGGTTCCTTCTCAAGAACCGCTTTTCATTCATATCCCTGAGTGTAGTGATATGCACTAATGGGAGCTGCTCTTCAAGGCTGGCACGTCAAGCTTTGGCTGTCTCCGTCTGGTTCCGTGTATTGGTATCTTGCAGGAGTGGACTGGTTTCAGAGTACTGAGGTGATCCATTTGGTAGGCCTTGTTCCTTTGGACTCCTCTTTCTAGCCTCTTTCTGCTTTGAAAGGAAAAAAAGAGCAGAGTTAGAGGTGGCTCATTATGGTGCAAGCAGACACCAGCATCTGCCCAATAACTAGAGCTACTAGGAAGCATTTGAAGCTTTGTGCGCAAGTCTCACAATAAACTGGAGCAGAGCTGTTTAGCAGCAACCGGTGGGGAGACCCGCTCCAAACAAGTGAGAGAAGTAGGAACCTTTATATTAAGTCAGCACCCCCCCCACCAGCCTACTGGGAATAGCCAGCACTCCTCTACCCACGCAGGTATTGGCATCCAAGTCACTTCAATAGGGACTACTCTACAACCATGCCAAAAAAAGGAATTTCAGCTGTAGGTTTCAACATGGGGGTTATTTTATTATACATCTTGGACTACAGCAAGTGCCAGGCACTTCTAGGTTGGAGCCTTGGCAATTTAAGTGACACTGCAAGAGCAACAGATCAAAGGACAGTTTATTCATTCCTGGCAAAGGGTTGCTGAAAGAGCCTTTCACTTGTGATGACAAGTCTTTCCAGCTACGCTTTAGTAGCTAGCAACCTGCTGCTTCATTTGCAGACAGTCTTACTTGGCCCAGATTGCCATGAAGGTGGTCCAGAAGAGCAAAAAGCAAGTACAAAATGTTCAGATATGGAATAAGGACTTGACCACATGGCACAGCCCCCCTCCCCCCCAATCTAGTCAAGACGGCCAGCTAACCAAGAGATTATCCTTGTCCCCATGCCACCCATTTTTGTACAAGGATGCAAGACACTAGGGAGAGATCCTCCACCAAGTGATCTCTTGGAGGAAGTGAGCCTCCTTGAGCCAAGGATTCATACTACCTCAAGTGCATTTTGCATCTTGGCTGCTCTTCCGCCCAGGAGAGTATATGAACCCCAGCAGACTGTCCCTATGCCTGAAGAAGGGCGTTTGCGCCCAAAAGCTTGCAACGAACAATACTTCCAAGTATTTACTTGGTCTAATACGAGACATCGCCCCTTTACCTAGAGAACCTAGGTCTTCCTGAGGTGACACCCATTCTAGAAGATAGGGTTCTCTCTTTATAGGTAGAAAAGACACCCAAAAAGGAAGCTCCAACAGCAAGGCCCATCTTGGTAGGAGACGTATGCACACGTAGTATTGGCCGAGGCAGACCTTCAGTCGTCATTCCCAAATCAAATCTTTGAAGATGTTGCCCAAATCCCCACTACTGCCTGTACGTAGCATCCAATTTACTCTCCCCATCCCCAAGCAAGTTCTGCTGTGCAGAAGTGCCAGGCAATGGGTCTGATCTATATTCCTTTTCTTTCTCCTCTTTGCTCATCCTCGCAGCCTGCCAGAAGAGCCTCCACATTCCCAACCAACATTGCAAACACCTCAAGTCCACCACCCAATATTACCATCAGTTCTCTTGTTCTGCCCCGAACTCAAGGATGCATCCTGTCCTACCCCTGGCACTTCCTTGGTAGTTGTTGCAAGGAGCTTGCTTAAGCTAAAGGCACAAGCAAAGCTTGCAAGAAGCACATGTATTTTTCACACTGGGTAGTGAGAGCTTAGTTTCCATAGCAGACTTGAGCACCATTTGTTAGTTTTGCTTACAACATGCAAGCTTTACCTTGACTGGGTACCCACCTACAAGCTGGCTTCGTGCAGCACCTTCCTCTTAACTGGAGGCAGTGGTTTTGCTGAGAAGGCCACGCTGGCCTCTTTATTTTCTGAGCCCTTTTTATTGCTACTCCAAAATAAAAAGCATTTTTCCTAGAAGATAATCAGGCTAGTTTGTTGCATTTTAGACATCATTAAAGAAAAAAAAAAAAGCTTCTACTTTAAAAGCCTCTATACAGTTATAAGCCTTTATATGATTAAAGCTAACTCAGTCATGTTTTGGGTTAAGAGTTTGATTCAAATGTTTAAACTAGAATTTAAGTGTTCCAATTTTCATTCAAACAGGAACTTAATAAAAACAGTAGTCAGACAAGGTTAAAAACGGTCTATCTTCACCTTGGAAGTCTGTACCAGTCAGACTTAGTAGCATGCACACAAGTGGTGTTGCACATGTGCAACAAGAACATTTAGAGCAGTTTTTGCTCAGGACTATAGGGAAGACACCATTTTTAACCTGGCTGAAGCTATAATCTATTGTTTAGCTCTGTAATCAAGGCACGCTAAGGTTCTCATTTCAGATTTAGTTTATAGGTACAGTGCTCCCCTCTTAGAAGGCCACTTCCCCCTGCCCTTAAAAACCATGCAGTTTGGAGGAATTTAGTCAAAATAAAAAATTCCACTATAAGCTAGTGAGAAGTTAGGAGCCAGAAGTCTCTTGATAGAGAATGGGAAGCTTCAAGAGGGAAGGACTGTGGTTGATTAGATGATCACTGTGATGAATCAGTTGTTAACACTTCCAGGGAACAGTCACCATGACTGCCAAAAAATGCAGCTTTTTGTTGTGGTCCAAGGCTATCCAGTAGTACAGTACTATCCAGAATTGTACCTGCTTAGTAACACAAAATGAGGGAGATTCCCCCCACAGATTTACAGTCATTGAGGCTAAAAAGAAGAGAGGGACAACTAAGTCATGGGGGACAGGAAGGGAAGGAAGAAAATAAAATTCCCCAAGTCAAAAAGTTAGACTAGTTGGGGAAGTGGGGGTTGGCAGGCAGCAAATAGGGAAGGGCACAGTGTTTTTATACATACAGCTTAAGTGACTATTAACCCCAATGAGCTATTACTGTTGTGGGGGTGGGAGGAAGAGAGGGAGAAGGAGGGAGTATTCAATATTTCACAGGCACTTAGGATGGGACTATGGGTTTTGCACATCTCTAGGATCCCAGAATAAAGACTTGGTCCTGGAAAAATGAGAAAACAACCCCAAAACCCACATCCATCTGCTTTATAGCCTTCAAGTTTTTAGTTTGCTCATCTTCTATCAAGCAGCACTCAAGTTTCTAGTAAGGAAGTGTAGCCAGGTTGATCTCTACAACCCACTCCTGGAACTGGCTTCCAGACTATTGCTTACACCATTAGTCAGCTGGAGAGCTTGCTGCTGGAAGACTGTGGACAAAAAATAGCTAAAGTTTACCCGTTAGCCTTGGGCTCAATCCCATGTTGGGCACAGGGTTCCCTTAAAGAAAGAAAAAAAAAAAAAAAAAAAGAGGAATAAAGTCCCACATGGATCCTGCTGCTTCCAAGTAGACTCCATGGAAGGAGGCCTCAAAGAACAGCATATTGGCCTGAGGGAATGGAGTTTAGCCAGAGGAGCAAGCACACACCTACCACCCAAAGAGGTCACCTTGATGACCAGCCAGGGGTAGTTGTGAGCCTACAGACAGTTATGAACATGGCAGCCAACTCAGGCTGGCATGCATTGCTGTTGTCCCAGCATGAACAGGAACAAAGTAAAAGCACAGGAGAACTAGATGACAGTAGACCAAGAGCAGAGGAAGCAAAAAGATAGTCGGTCCCACCTTTTACTAGCTTAATGCTTCCTACTAAAAGACAGGTTAAAATATGGAGTTAACAGGTACTGCAGAAATCCATTATACCCATGTGGCCCCAAGTTGTTTCCTCACTGCAGAAAGGAAAAGAGTAGTGAAGGCACCAGCCCATTTAAGCCTATAGGCCAGAAGTTTGGGGTTCCTAACTCTATATTACAACCAAACCCTGTTAAAAAAAAAAAAAAAAAAAAAAAAAAAAAGTCTCAGGCTTGAGCTCAAGGGTCACCCATCTCAGTCTCAGTTTGGTTTTTGGCACGTGGAGCTTTTAGGAATAAGTGCTTTTCCTGTGCAATAATCCTGGCTGGCATTTAATCCCAGTTTGGTTTCACTGCTGCAAGCAGTCTCTTCAGGGAAGTGCAAAGTGCAGGGTCTGTCTAGCACAGGGGTGGACAAAATGCGGCCCATGGGCCAGATGCAGCCTGCCAGGCCATTCTATTTGGCCTGCGGCCCCCCCAGAAAGAAAGAAGATTTAGAAAAATATTTATCTGCTCCTGGCTGCCTGCCATATGGCTTGCCAAAACTCAGTAAGCAGCCCTCTGCCTGATAATTGCTCCCCACCCTGGTCTAGCAACTCCACTAAGTACCTGGACACCAAGCTGCCAGACTTTAAATGCCTTTGAGTATATAAGGGGTTTATGTTAGGTGTGCTGCACAGGCCTTTTGTCCTCTGTGGAGTTTCCCTTGGCACTGAGGAGCTATCTTGGACTCCTGCAACAGAAGTGCTCTCACTGCCAAGCCAGCTCACATTTAAGTACGTGCTCAGAAAAATGCTTTGGCTGGTGAGCTGTGCTCCGAGCGGCTTTGCCCTGGAGGGGGAAGGGCCACAGCATTTGACTCTACCAGAGTAAAGCCTGCACTATTTCCCTGTGGCAGGGCCTTCTGGACTGGCATGAAAGTTTCTTGTTTTTGGTTATTAAAAAATATTCTGGGTCATACTGGACCTCGCTACTTGAGAGCACCCTCGCATCAAAAAGTCTACATACTCCAATTAAAACCCATTTCAGTCTGACATGGACTGTGTGGCAATAGCACCTCACTTTCTTGGCCAAGAACAAAAAGGAAGCAAGGGTTGGAAGAGACCTCAGGAGGTCATCTGGTCTAGCCACCTGCTCAAAGCACAACCATCCCCCCCAACTAGATCCCAGCCAAGATTTTGTCTACCTGGGTTTTAAAGCCTCCAAGCACCCCCTCTTTATACCCAATTCCTGTAAGCTTAGTTTGAAAGCCACTGAGCACACGGTAGAGCCAGCAGCATGTTTCTACGGCTACAGATGGCCAGTCATGCTCAGCCTCCAGCAGAGCTGGCAAGGGTGCTCAGTACACCTTGTATTTAGTTACTTGGCTTCCACTGTGCAGAGACTGTAGGGTGGATACAAGAGAAGGCTTGGATCATACTGAAAATTTTGCCCCATTAGAAGCTATTCTAGGTTCTCGGGGAGAATCGCTTATATAAAAAAACAAAACAAAAAAAACCCCGCATGTTCTTCTCAGCCTCTTGAAGGCTCAGGTCAAGCATAGTCTAGGACTACCTGGCAAGGGAGACATGGACCAGAGGCAGTTCTCCTAGCTGCACTGGGGAAGACTGCCCACCTGGCATGGGGATAGTACCTGCTAAGGTACTATATAGTAAACCTCCCATATAGCTCCTGGAGTGGGAAGTCTTGGCTTTATGTCCACTTCTTGGAAATGAAGAGACTCTTCCCTGGCTTATTCCTGGGGCCTTATGGCTGAGGGCAAAACCAAAAAGCTTAGGGGCATCCAAACCACAAGCCTCCAGGCTGAAGCCTGCAAACAGGCTGCCTGCCAAAGGTTTTGGAAACATTTGAAGCCCCAGATGGGGTGGAGGAGGTTTGCCAGTAGTAGGCATTTATGGTTCTAGATGGACACTTGGATGTGGAATTTGTTTTGGCTAGGAATATGGAAAAAAATTGAACAAAAAGCCCCTAAAACTTCTTCAAAGCATGTTATAGCATTTAACTGGGGTGGAGAAGAGTGCAGAAGTGGAAGCATTTGTATATTCTGGGCGTTTTCAGTCCATAGCTAAGCTTCAGAACTTACTCCGATTAGACTAGAGATAAGAGTAAGCCTCAGGTACCCAAACACCAAGAACAAGAACTACAGAGCTCCTGGGAAGAGTGGAGCAAGTGGCTTCTTTGTTTGAAAGAGTCCATTACAAATGACCCAATTTGGAAAGCCCTAGAAGTGCTTTATATATGCTGGCATTCACAAGCCTGTGGCATGGAAAGCAAGTCACTCCCAGATATTAGAGACCATTGGCTAGAAATACTTCAGGTTAGCAGAGAAAGGTGAGCAGAAAAAGCCATGGCAGGTCATGCTGCAAGCAAAATATTGAGAGCTCCATCATTCCACATCAGATCAACATGCGCTGCATTGAGTCGGATTTTTTGTTGTTGTTTTGGGGTTTTTTTGCTTTAAACTTGATACACAATTGATTAAGGTCACAAACCAAACAAAGCTGCAGAAGTCAAGAGTTGCAAGCTCCTACCTGACTTATTATGAGTAGGATGGCAGCAATCATCAAAGCAGTACCCAGAGCAATGGAGATGTATTGCACATATTCCAGTACAGATGGAATCAGGACCAGGTTGGTGTAGAACTCCTTTAGGACTGGACCCTCAAGGGAACCACTCTGAACAGAGAAGAGGGAGTTTAGCAGGTTCTGTACAGCATAGTTTAAAAAGGTAGCAGCAACAGCGCTCCCTTCTTCCAAGACAGTTGGAAAAAGCTTTAGACCATGTAACCCAGCCACAGGTAGGACATCATGCCAGGCCAATTACAAGTGTGTGTGAACAGAGGCTGCATTGCCTGCCTCCCCTCCTAGCCATCATGGACTTCAAGGACAGAATTCCTTTAGAGCTTGCTTCCTAATCATCAGTTCAGTAGCATCAAGTTCTTTCAACAAGCATATCCTGCCACATGTTCAGTGACAGATAGACACTTGATCATCTACATACACATGGCAGACTCCAGCTGAAGTATTTGGACCATGTCTCCTGTCCAATTAGCCTCTCCTGTCCCTTTCAGCTGTGCACTCTTCCACTGAAATACTGAAAAAAGTGCTGAAGAGTAAAATTTGTGTCAAGAACTGCAGTGGAGATCTTGGACGTCTAGACCTTTATGTTGGTAGTCACCTAATGCAATCTTTAATCCTTTCTTTGTGCTGTAGATCTTTGGGAACAACCTACATTTTCCCCAGCATTTAAAAGTTTTGCAGAGCTGGCACTTGTTTAGCCACAAGGGAGAGCCAACTCACCTCTGAAAACCAGATTATAGGCAAAATGACTGGCTTGATCTTCCCTGTTTGCCTGAAGGAGGAAAAGAGAAAAAAAAAGTTTTACCCTTATGCAAGTTCAGCTGGCTGGTCTACACAGGCTGTAAGGGTTCCAATCCTTTCTGCAGGGAAGCTATTCAAGATCATGCATGAAATATGAACATTAATGTTTGACAGATGGGGTGCCAAGTCCCGGGTTAAGAAAACAAAACAGGAGAGGCAAACTGCTACAGACAGTACTAGTTGAGAAAGGATACAGAACAGTTTTGTTAGAACCCAGTAGGCACCATGGACCTCCCTCCAACCCCCTTACACAGATGCTATGGCAAGTTCAGGAATCCCAACGTCAAGCATCAAGATAAAGTAGAATTAAGCTCCATTGGCAGACTCTCCTGCTGCAGTACAGCTATTTGCTCTAATGCCCGTTGTCCTCCAAGGCTTGTACTGGGAAGCACAGAAGAGTTCTTCAACCATCTCTTGCTCCTCTGGAAGTGACAACTTACGTTATGCCCGAGACCTGTTTTATGAACATATTCATCTGCAGCTTGATGGAACAATTCATGGGAATGCCGGTCATCTGCAAAGAGAAATCACAGCATTCTGCATATGCTTGCTTTGAAAATAACTCAAGATAAGAGACCTTCACATTTAGTTATGCATATGCTACCATGACCTGTGGGTGTATCCCGCCAATGCCCATCAACTGGAAGAATTTAAGAAACTGTCAGGCTAAAGGGGATGTTACCATGAAGAGTTAAGAGACTAAAGTCCTTCCTGGTCACAAGGCAGTTTCTGTTCAGAGAAACCACCTCTATTTAATCTATCCTCCAGTCTCTCCATAAAGCCTTCCCAGTGCAAAGCTATTTAAAAAGGCTGGAATATGAAGGGATTACACATTTACTTACTAGAGCCTACAGCTACTAGATGAGAAGGTTAAATTGTGCAATATGAAGGTTTTTCATAGAATCACAGAGAAAAAAAAAAATAATGAGGGTTGGAAGGGACCTCAGGTGGTCACATCTAGTCCAACCCCTGCTCAGAGCAGGACCAGCCCCAACAAATCATCCCAGCCAAGGCCTTGTCTAGCCTGGCCTTAAAAGCCTCCAGAGATGGAGTCTACTACCTCTGGGTAGCTTGTTCCAGTGTTTCACTACTGCACACTCATGGAGTTTCTTAATATCCACCCCCCCAGCCCATTTCCCTTACTGCAAGGTGAGCCCATTGCTCCTTGTCCTGCCATCTGCCCCCACTGAGAACAGTCCAGCTCCATCCCCTCTGCAATCCCCCTGCAGGGAGTTGAAGGCTGCTATTAAATCCCTCCCTCAGTCTCCTTTGCAGATTAAATAAGCCCAGTTTCCTCAGCCTCTCCTCACAAGTCATGCCAGCCCCCAAACCATTTTCACCACCTTCTGCTGGCCTCTCCAAGCTGTAGCAGGAGGCCCAAAACTGGACACTATTCTGCCCTGAAGGCCACATCTAGAGTAAAGGGCGAAATAAATCACTTTCCTTGATCTGCTGGCAACACTCCTAGACACAGCCCAGTATGCCGCTAGCCTTCACAATGGCACGCTGTTGGCCCCGTGTTTTAATTAAGTTTATTACAGTTTCTCTCTAGAGATAAGCTTTTACTGCTATGGACTTTACTTACCAAAGCATGCGTAGACAATAAGAGGCAGGGAGAAACGAGGTCCTTTCCAAGAGGTAAAGTACAGCTCTCAGCCCATTAAATCAGACATACTGACTGAATCCATATAGCAATCTCTACTTTGGCATGTTTTCTAGCATGAAGCAGTGCTGCCCTACCTTATTCTGGAAGTTGATGCTTACACTAGAACCATTTTGATTAGCAGGGGGAGGAAGTGCCCTGGTGATTGCAAAGGAAGCACTTTTCAAAATATCAGTCTCCTACCTCTAGCTTGGGTAGGATTGCATTGTCTACCATGCCAGCCTCCATACAATGGCCACCTTTGCACTCTACAGGATTGGGAGACCCCAATGGTTTGCCAGCAGTCCAAGTTCTTCCCTAGGATTCAGTGAGAGTAGCTCTAAGGTATGATCTTGTGGAGGCCAACAGACAGGAAAGCTCATTTTCCTATATTATTCATTGGAAGCAGCACAGCACAACCAGAGTCATAAGTGACAGCCCAGAGAAAGCCTTAAAAAAGAAGAAAAAAAATTCCCTAGCAGAACTCAACCTACTGGAGAAGTTGGATAAAGCATCAGGATGGGCTTATTTTAGGCAGTATACTAGGGACTGTCTATTTGGAAGTAGGTCATCAGAAGATGAAGTTACAGGATTACAACTAGGGGAACAAACATGACTGCTATGAATGCTCCACTGGATAAGCACCAAGAAGTACTCCCATTAGTAAGTATGATCAGGCAACTGGGCTACTTCCCCCACCCCCAGCATCAAGTGCTGCACCTTGCAGTATTACGTGCAGCGAGATTTACAGAGAATCTGTCCACTTGCCATGCAGCAGTGATTAGAGTGGCCATGACTAAACATGTAACTCTATAATGCCACTCAGTCTTCCTTCCCTGGGCCTGAGGGTATAAGCTATGGTAGCCAGCTATGTTCAGTCAATGGCTCAATTCCCCTGCCCCCTCCCTCCCCCAAAAGAGCAAGGAATAAAGGCCAACATCCCATTTCACAACTCTGAAAGGTCCAGAATGGCAGGAGTTGCTCAGGAGGTAGGACTAGCCGCAACTGTGAATTACACTCGTGATGCTTTATCTGACCTGTTGTCTGCAAGTTGCAAAATAAAGGTGTGCCAGTAATTTAATTTATTGTTTTACAGGGATTTTATCCAAATGTGTCCCTGTAACTATCATCAAGTCTTTGCACTATGGAACTGCTCTTGTGGCAGCATGCCACAGGGCTGAGCATGAAGCTGAAAAGGTAGCCAATTCCACTGACCATTTGATATAGGGGTACTTTTGAAAGAGGCCTCAATTTTTCTGCATGAGCTCTGAGAAGTCATCTGGGGTACATAGTATGGCTTGCTCACTCAGATCCCTCTAGTCCAACTCCCATCTTCCCCCTTCAGGAGGAGAGATGCACAGCTTGGAGACCAACTCACTGGGTGGATATCCAAGAAGAGTCCATGCTTCTCCTTTGTGGGATGGAGTCCGCCAACAGCCTCTACCAGGACCGGGTCAGCATTGTAGAAGTGAGGATGGGAAATGAATACTGGTGCATCTGAGCAGAAAGAAAAAAAAGAAGAAGTCACAGCAGAGGGTTCATGATAGGCTTGTTTAGACAAGTTGACAAACTACCATGGGATCATCTGGAGTGGAAGAAGTCCCCTGCAAGTCCTTCACACAGATGCCTACAATCCAATGTGGGCACCAGGAAGTTGGGACTAAGAGGAGATTTTAGTCTTACTGCTAGCAGTTGATCCTATTAGGAAGATTGAACTTAACCTTCTTTGAGTTCACACTGGTTTCAATAACCATAAGTCAGGGCTCCTGGGCATACTTGGGTTGCTGACAAGCCAGGCTTTGCTAACCAGATTAGTTACCCTTCCAGGGCCTCCCATCTTGCAGCCAGTTGGAAAACTTGGCTTATAGTTTGGCTCCTTGTCAAACAAAGGAGCTGCTGCTTACTCCTTAGTGCTACAGGAGTACCCAGCTTCTCTTAGCTACCCGACCTGCATGCACTGCTCAAGCCTATGGTAGAAGCCTTGCATACAAAAAAGGCTCATAAACCTTGTTTTGTCTCCTGCAAACTTGTCCCAAGGAGTCACAAGACCTGTACTCGCTCCATATGTGGGACGAGCCAAATTAAAAGCAAAAAAAATCCACAGATACACCAAAACCTTAAAGGAGTTCCAAACTCTAGGACAGGGTTTACTATATTGATGGTTTTTGTTTAATAAAACAGGATAAGCAACTTTAGGATATACAGCAACAGGTAATAGCCGTAGGTGGTAGGCCCTTACTGAAAAGTACTGGACCCACTAACAGCCAATTGTTCAGCCAGAGTATTAAGAGGATCCATTAAACCTTCCAGTACAGCTGGAAGAGCCCCAGGCCATCCAACTGGGACTGGAGAAATAACTAGTGCAACTTCTATTCTTGCTTGTAATATTTTTCATGTTTTGAAGTGTCCTAGGCATTTTGCCACCCATTTCTATTGACCTCTAAAGAGGTGTGCAAGCTACTTGACACCAATTTGCAGTCCCTGGAAACTATTCAGTTTACCATTAACTTTAAAAGCTTCACACCCCTGCTCTTTACATTACTAAGAAACATTTGGACACATCTTGCTGGGATTCTTTGACCCCAGCCAACTTCCTGCTCCTGGGGCAGGGGGCTAGACCCAATGATCTTCCGAGGTCCCTTCCAGCCCTAATGTCTATTTAAAAAAAAAAAAAAAAAAAAAAAAAAAAAAAATTTATAGTGTAGGATATGCCCCTTCCCCCTGCAAAAGTGTTGGGGAAGGGAGATGCATACACCATTGTGGCCTTGGCAGTACAAGAACCATGAAGGAGACCAAGGAGGGAAATACCACCACTGGTTATTTGACATTGGGGAGTCTGCTGGGAAGAGACCGCACCTCACAGAGCAACTTAGGCTGGAGACAAGTCTTATGCGGACAGACATACTTAGTCGGCAGGAGCTGACGTTCTGGATTCCAGACTCCCTACAGGGGCAGAAGCCTTCGTTAGGAGGATAGTCCGTCCCGTTAGCAAACAGAGTCTTTGGAGCCACATAGCGAAAAGTTGGTATCCCTTTAAATTCTCCAGGCTGCTCGTACACCAGCGCCATGGACCTAGAGGGAACAGAACCGAACCGGTCTTGCATGCTATGTACAGCAAGAGGCTACAGAGCCGACTGCAATATGATGGGACACTCTTGTTAGCTTGGCCATGCATTTCCCCTAGAGGGAAATGGCTTGGAAGAAGTGTTATATCTAGGGTGTTATTCCAGTAGGAAACAAAACAGCAGGACCCACTAAGAACACATTAGTTTAGGGGCACCAAAGGGAAATGCGTGGAGAAGCATCCCTTGGCCTTATGCTGCAGCTCCTACATTTCTTACCAGAAGGGCCCCTCCATTCACCATCATGGACAGAGCATTTTTTCAGTTTAGAGGCCCATGATCTGGTGCACAGCCCCATGCCCCTGTGCTTGGGAAACACAGCTTACTTCCTCCATAGTGAAAGACAATCCCATCCAGTGCAGCCTGCCAGGCACAGCACTTCTGCAGGCCAAGAGATCTTATTCGGGCAGTGTAGGGTTAGTATCCAAAATAGGCAAGGGGCTCCAATACAGAAAGGAGCAATGCTACTTGTTCAGTGGGATTAAAATAATTAAATAAAAAAGGTAAAAGGCTTGTCTGGTTAGTTCTGGAACAGACTGCTGCCTGGCATGGGACCAAGGACATTGCACCTCCTGCCAATACAGCATTGCTGAAAGGCCCTTGTATTTTGTTGCTATACAGCAAAATTGTCCTTGTTTGAACCTCAAGAATCAAGATTAAGGTCATATTTATTAGGAAATTTGACCCTACACCTTTGAACTATTTTTTTTTTTTTCCCCCGCACTTTTGGCCAATGGCTTTCACATGCAGGTGTTCATTTTATGGTTGGGCAACCTGTGCCTTGAATTCATTCACCCAGTAAGAGCGCTTAGGTGAGTATTCAGTTCCTTTCACTATTACATGAAGGCAAAAGACATGCTATAGCTAGACAGCTGCCTCAACTATAGCAGTTGGGCAATGTCTCAAGCTGGAAACAAGCTTCAGCCCCTGTGTGGAAAAATAGACAGCTTTCAAGTTAGGAGATGCTCTTGGAACAATTGCCTCCATCTCACTTCTCCTGGCTGTATTTACTATTGAGTTTATTGAAATTAAAAAAAAAAAAAAAGTACCCTTGTCTCCTAGCTAGAATACTGGAAGTAAGTGCAGATAGATAACTCTTCAAGTAGCTTCAATAGGGAACTTGGGTGAACAGATAGCAGAGAACCTCCTCTTCCTGGAAGTCAAGGAACTTGACCTCTATGACAAACTACTCTAGATGGTCTCAGGATTCATGGGCTTATGGTAATGGTCTAGTGGGGAACTGCATGTTCCCCATCTGAAGGCAGCTCGGACAACACAAGTCTAAATCAGGTAGACAGCCACCATCTATTCCCCGGCTCCCTCTTCAGGGCATGTGGGACTTCAGTTCCAAGTCATGACTTGTCCCATCTTCAATTTAGAGCGGTCCACCCACTGAAGCCAAAAGGTAGCATCACCCTTCACATAAGCTTTTGCCTTATGCTGGTAGCCAGGCAGATCTCTGCTCATCATACCTGCAGGCATCAGGACTATAAAACTCCAGAGAAGTAGAAGGGGTCATGAAAGGTGGCCACATTTCTCCAGAAGTCCCATTGATCATATTACACTGCTCACTCCGCCAATAGTTTGTCTATAGGAAAGTTAACAGAGTGTTAAAGGAAGAGTCTCCTGGATGCATTACATTTCACTCAGACATGTCAGACAGCTAGAAACCACCGATTTGCTTGCCTCCATCCCAACCTGGTATTAGGAACCATACTGTTACTTCAGCTTCAGAGCTCTCCTTGGCTGCTATCCAAATGCTAGCCGTCTCCAGCTACAGAGACCTTTCCAAAGTTACACATGCCAGACTCATCCCCATCCAATTAGAGGCCCAATCCATATTAAGATCAATTCTTTCCCAGCTGTGGATCTGCAGCCCATGCCACTGCCAACACTGTGCCAATTAGAAGCCGTGCTGTCATCTGGTTCAGAAGTGATGCCATGTGGCACCGTGACCCAGATCTTATTTTCCAAGTTCCCCAACATCTTTAGTCTGCAGGTCCCACTTTGAAGTGTGACAAGTCTCACTTAAGACAGCTTGTATTTCAAGAGCCCAAATCAATACTGCCATCTCTCTTGAATCTTAGCAATGTCTAACAGTTGCCCATCTTGGAAACCAAGTCAGTAATGCTAGCATGGGGGTTTTGCTACAGAGATTTAATATAAGAATCGAGTCAGAGGCATCTCTGGACAGCATAATTTAGCTAGCATTATTAGAGTGGACCAGTGTCCTAGGGAAACTTGGCCTTTACCTTTCTAATCCCATTCCAGGTATCCACCATATGGCATTTATGGATGTCCTTCACCCCCGTATACACAGTGAACAGTCCTGAATTAGAGTTGTTAAACTGCACAAGAGAAAAAAAATAGGGAGGTGTGAGTTTTTCCTACAATCCATCACATCCAATTGCAATGCTCATTCTAGTTTCTTTATGAGCCTGCTCCCAGTTTCACAGTCATTTCGTACCAACAGGGTCATAGTTTCATAGTTTCATAGTTTCAGGGTCGGAAGGGACCTAATAGATCTTCTAGCCCGACCCCCCGCCAGGGCGGGAGAACAACCCAAAAACACAAACAAAACCACTCACCCTAAAAACAAAAACGGGACTCAAATGAGTCCAGCCAGGTAAGTATCCAGCCTCTTCTTAAAGATCCCCAGGGTAGGGGCCAGCACCACCTCCCTTGGAAGTTGGTTCCAGCTCCTAGCCGCCCTGACTGTGAAGTAGTTTTTTCGGATGTCCAATCTGTACCTCCTCTCCATCAACTTGTGCCCATTATTCCTTGTTATGCCAGCAGGGGCTAGGGGAAACAGCGTCTCCCCCAAACCCTTCTGGTTCCCCCTAGTGAGTTTATAGACGGTCACCAGGTCCCCCCTCAGCCTTCTCTTGTGGAGGCTGAATAGGTTCAAGTCCCGCAGTCTCTCACTGTAGGGTCTGCCCTGTTGTCCCCGGATCATGCGGGTGGCCCTCCTCTGGACCCTCTCCATGTTGTCCACATCCCTCCTGAAATGGGGCGCACAGAACTGGACACAATACTCCAGCTGCGGCCTGACCAGCGTCGCATAGAGGGGGAGGATCGCCTCCCTGGCTCTACTCGAGATGCACCTGTGGATGCACGACAAGGTCCGGTTAGCCCTGCCAACCATGACCTCGCATTGTCGGCCCATGTTCATCTTGGAGTCAATAATGACACCAAGATCCCTTTCCGCCTCCGTGCTCTCAAGTAGGGAGCTCCCCATCGTATAAGTGTGCTGCTGGTTCCTACTACCCAAGTGCAGCACCCTGCACTTGTCCGTATTGAAACGCATCCTGTTCCTGTCTGCCCACCCCTGTAACCTATCCAGATCCTTCTGCAATCTCTCTCTCCCTGCTAGCGTGCTCACCTCCCCCCAAATTTTGGTGTCATCAGCGAATTTAAACAGGTTGCTCTCCACCCCAACATCAAGATCGCTGATGAAGACATTGAACAGCGCAGGGCCCAGGACCGAGCCCTGAGGGACTCCACTACCCACCTCCCCCCAAGTCGAATATGATCCATCCACCACCACCCTCTGAGTGCGACCCTTCAGCCAATCTGCAATCCATCTGACCGTCATTACACTTTGATTGTCATTTGCATTTTTCCTAGATGTACTCCTTATCCAAGGTAAACTGATCTGCCAGAAGTATTGAGCAATGTTCGACAGGGAATCCTTTGGACTCCTGCTCACCTTCAAAGCAGCAGTAAGATGTGCTACAGCTGGGAATATGGGGGATAATGCCTCATGGAACCGAAGGCTACTTTTAAGTTGGGATAAATACTTCTTTGTTTTATGAGGTGCACCATAATTTTGTTCCTTTGCCATGTGTAACTGCAGCAAAGAAACTCACTTTGTGGACAGAGGGAGAACCAAGAAGTCCGTCCCACAACTCAGCGTGGGCATTTTAGCCTTGCCAAGCACAGGTGTACTTACATCACTAAACAAGCCAAACTTCCCCTTGAAAGGGATCAAGCCAGGTACGAGGGTGTTCAGTATCGTCAGAAGTGGATCATCATACCCCCAAAGGATCTCCCCCACTGTCCGGTTCACAAAAGGCGTCTGTTTCAGGCCAGACAGTGCACTACTTATCAACACCTTCAGAAAGCCGGGGAGATTCTCCATCATGACAGCTCCCCCCTGAAAGAGAGGTTCAGGAAGTCACAAAACTAGCTCCTGTCCACTCAGAACAGTCTTCAGGAATACAACAAACAAGCTGCTGCTGCCTTGTTCAGCCAATGGGTCAGAAACCATGGCACACCTTGTCCCAGTACCACAGCCTTCTGCCACTACCTCCTACTAAAAAAAAAAAAATAGGACAGACAACAACATTCCTCCGAACTGTGCCAAGTTCCAATTCACAAACCCACTCTGCCTGGGTTTGGGTTGCAACTCAAGCCAAGTTCACCCCAACTGAAATCCTAGCCAGTATGGTTTCATCTAAGCTCTCCAGCTTCCCTCCCCATGCCTCTCCCTTTAGGAGGAAGAGCCGGGGCACCCAGTTGGTACATAAGATTGTGATGATGTGACCTTGGAGTATGCTCAAGAATCCTCCAAGGAGGAACTTCTGCATAAGGGGTGGATAGACAGGTTATGGCGATGCAGAACGTGCTCTACCACCATTTAGTATCAAGTGAAGCTCCTGTGGCTCACTCAAGAAGTCAAGCCACAGGACACATCTACTCCAAGCTACTCCCCACTCCAGGCCAACACTTTACTAGGATACCTCCAAGTCCATCACCTCCAGCCACATGCATTATTTCTGGATGCATCTCAACCCCTTGAGAAAATTATTCTGTTCCCCAGAAGTGGGGGGTGACACTACAGCATTTCAGTCTTAAGAAAGACTAACCATTGGGCTTTATAGCTGCTTCTCCTTGTCTGTATTAAAAGACCAAAGTCTTGCTAAATCAGCTTCAGATCTCCTTCACTATTCACTTAAGAAGCAAATCAGGAAGGAAGAATAGTTGTAACTACAGTTAGCAGCACGTGTCCCTAACATTAGGGATGGACTGGCAGCTACAGCCACCATCATGTGGTTGGAGGTCTAGTTTAAGACGAGGGTTCATGCACTAGAGGATATGACATTGTTACTGCTCTAGTTGGTTTCCTTCATTTGATGGAGAAACATTAGTTGTTTCTGGTAGTCTCACCAGCAACAGGATGTTTGGTACAACAACGTGATCCTCTTCCTTTCCAATAGACATGTCTGGTTGGAAGTGAAAACGCCGATATTCCAGGAACGAAACCGTGTCATTGTCATGGAAAGTGATGTTGGTTTTAAACCTATGTTCCCTGTGCAAAGAGATAACCAACAAGTCATCATAAGAGTGTTTTCCAGTGGTTGATAACACCCTGGCAACACCAACACATGAATAGGGGCAGAGCTTACACAGCAAGTTAAGGTTTTGCTGACACACTGACATCTCCTCAGTTTCAGCTTTATTAATCCTATTAGGGATTGGCTGCTCTGTTTTTCTCGGACAGAAAAAAAAAGCGCTCATCTGAAACAGAGACTAGTAACACAGGCATCCTAGATTTGGGCTATAAAAAGAATGGTTGTCTAGAATACGAGTGCCTCTGAACTAGCTGTACTGTTTGCCTAGACCCGCAGAGGTAGGAAGGGAGGCAAGAAGAGACTGTTTCCTGGTTTTCATTCTCTTCTATGCAGAAGGGAAGGAAGTCAGCCAAGCGACAGGAACAGGGCAGATTGACACGAGCAGCACGCATCAAGCTTATTGACGATTAGCAAATACTGGCAAGTCACGTCAAGGATGCTCTGCAGGTTGCCGGCAGGCATCCAGAGGCTTTGGGCTTTTTAGAAAGCACCAAGGGAGGTCTCAAGATTGCTACAAGAGGATGTCCGTCACCATCCAAGCAAAGGCATTTGATGCCAACAAGCCTGCCTTTGTTTTAGTTCTCAAGGAAAGGACCAAGCTTATTTAGAAGCCAGCCACTTGCTTATATAGGCACAAGCCATCAGCCAGCCACATGACTTGGGTAGTGCTGACATAATAAGTCAGAAGTGGGAGTGATCACTGACGTAGTACCCAGACATCTCAAGGTTTAGGAGCCAGCCTTCCTATGCGACTTAACCTAGTCTGTCCAGCCTACTGTGTGTGGAAGAAGGGAAGGGGAGATGTCAAATTTCCTCCCCCCCGCAGTGCACTGGAGTAGGAATTCAAGTCCATTGTGATCCATGGTCTGGGCTCTTGCCCCCACCCCCTTAGATAGCTGCCTTAGAAAGGGGGCAAGGGTGCAGAAAGAAGGAAAACTAGTAAGTTTGGAGAACCACACCCCAGGTGCTTACAGGGCCAACTTCAGCCCAGGAACCTAGAATAGTGAGCTGATGCATTGCAGCCAAAAGTTAGAAAGTTTGAGGTGTTATTGTATTTTCCCCCTCTGTGTACCTAACTGCAATGAGGTTCATGTCTCAGGGTTACCTTTGACTAGTGGTCAAGTTGACAGCACTGCAGACTCAACCCGAATAGAGGCCTACCCAGCCGGATCCCCACAGTGCACATGACAGAAGCCTCAAACTACTCAGATGCCAAACAGGTACCTTCCCTTGCAGTTAGCTTGGCCTGGCCCCAGGTAAATCAGGCCAGTACCAATACAAACCTGTAGACATAAGGTCCACGTTCGGCCACCACAGGCTTGGCCCCATTAACAACCTCTACTGGATTTACCACTTCAAAAAAGTGGACGGCGAAATAGAAAGGAATAGGAAGGTCTTTCCACATGTTGAAGGAGATGCTACTGGGATCAATCCTCACATTCTGCAAGAGAACAGATATATTTAGTCTTGGTCTTTACCACCATTGCCATGTTCCTACTCAAATACAGTAATCTATGCACATGGCTCAAAGCCCCTTGACCCAGGTTTAATGTTCAGAGCTGCTGGAGAAAGCAATTCCTTGCAAGGCAAATAGCAGAAGAGGCAGCTTGAAAAAAATCAGTCTCTTAAAGCAGGCCTCAAGTTTACAGAGCTCCTTTTAATGAGGAAGCCACAAAACAGAGGTACAAGAAGTAGTTAGGTAGACGCAACTCATTTTCTAGAGAACGGGAGCTGTTCCCCCTTTGCACTAGAAGCAGCCCATTTTAGATTTATAGTCACTGTCTTACTTCACATATACAGAAGTGGTGAGCTCTTGGTACAGAATGATATTAAAGGTCAATGCTCACCCACTTTATGCTTGAGTTTCAGCTCCATGGTGCTGACACTTAGTGCCAGGCTACAGGTGTAAGCCATCAGTGCTGTAGGGCACATGATGGACTAGTCTGCCAATGCTGGCTTTGCTTGTATTGTGGTACACCTTTCTGTGCAGCAAGACTGTGTTTACAACAACAGTTGCACTGATGAATTCCCAGCTACTTCTATGCATTGGACCAAGATTGTGTGTCAAGACGAAGAACTCCAGAAGCAATTACAAGGAGCCTTGACCAACCCTTGCTATATGCTACCCATATGCATCTCTCCACACTAGCTATCATCCCTCTAAAAGGATGAAGTGCTATTGCTAATGGCAACAAAGCCATGTCATGCCGGGGATATCCTGGTCATTACAAACAGCACATGTTTTATCTGGAAGTGATTGAGACATTAAGGAAGGTTGAGTATAACGGGTCCTGCTATGGTCTAGAAAGCAGACCTAGGTGTCATGAGACTCTGAAGACCTGTCATCCACTCCATTTAGTGGAGACTCATCATTTATAGGCACTTTGGTGCGAGGAAGACTAAAATAGTTTTTCCTCCCTCATCTTGGACCCTGTCCAAGAACATTGACCTGGTCTAAGAGGTTGTCTTAGAAATCAGGAGCAACAGCAGGCTCAAACTGAACTAGAAGTATCGAGTTTGAGGTTAGTTGATCTCAGGTTAACAGTTAGCCTGACAAGCCAAGATGGGCCTAATTTTAAAGCCCAAAATGAAGTTTTAATCCAGCACAAAGCTGTACTGATCCAGCCTGCACACTGGTGTGCCTTATACCAATTCACTACAACCATCATCATACACAAGAGAAGCTGCTGACCTTCTCCAGTGGGCAACAAGTTTAGAAAGAGTCCCTGAATTGTGTGCAGTGAAGAGCAAGTTCGACTACAGCAAATCTGAACTGGGCAGAAGTTTTATTTCTCTCTGCCACGAGGAAGAGAGACTGCCCATTTCCCCATTTATAGCCGTCACTGAAGCTGTTGAATTGGCACTCCTACAGCTTTTAGATTCAGGCACATGACCAAACCTTAACCTTACACAGCCTTGAGATAAGCAGCTTCCCTGAAGACCAGCTGTAACCCACACGCATAAAAACAAAAGCAACTGTTCAAGAGGCAAGGTGTCCATTGTAGCCATCTTACAATGGAAAACACACTAGGCTACAGGTAGACTGGAGGGAAGTTGAAGAGCATTATGCACAGCAGTGTTTTTAGGATGTGACCAAGTTTGAATATGCACAAGCAGTTTCTCCTTTCAAGGGAATTTACATCCCCAAGATACTTATCAAAGCAATTTTAATCCGTTAATTAATCAGTTAAGGAATTTCAGTATACATGCTACCCTGTTGGTACATGTTACTGTAATTCCACCCCCCTGCCCCCAGAATTTCCCAACTAGGAGTTTCAGGCACTCCAGTCTACAGCTCTATTCACACAGCTTGCAATCAGTTGGCAAGACGGTCATTTCCTGGGCACTGCTGCCCAAACCCTAGTTCAAAGGGCAACTAATTTTCCTCATACCAAGCGAGACTTAATTTCCAATTAAAGCAACATTCCATAGTCATAAGTCTAACATGCACATTAAGGGAGGGGAAGGCTGGGAAGAAGGATGGACAGGGCAAGGATTACAAGCAATTAGACCCTATGACCATAGGTGTTGGTTAAATTAGTCAGTCAGTGCTAAAGTTGAAAGGCATGACAGTACTTAACTGATGACATGCATTTGTGCTCAATACAATCTTTTTTTGCCAAGCATGCCAAGTTAGCCCACCTCACTTTCCTTTACATGCCACTCCAATTCCCTTCCACTGCTCGATTCTCTGCTCAGGTTTATGTTCCCAGCCCTTTATTCTGACTACTCCCCTTTCTGCTCCCTCCCCTGTATTCCCTGCTCCGCTTTCCAACTCTTCCCCAATCTGCTGCACGCAACCGAGCCTGCCTGTGCCACCCATGGCACCCATGCCCCAGGCTGGCCAACCAACCCTACATTATGTCTTGCTCATAATGCCCATAAGCTATGCTGGAAGCCTTCAACTGTTCGATCACAAGGAAGACTTCAAACTACCAAAAGGAGCAAAGCAAAACCATAAATTCCCCAGCTAGAGGTCAGAGTGGATCTGTTCAATAGCTGCAGAGGGCTTCACATGGATAACTGAACTCTTGGATTGATTCTTCCAGCTAGACATCTCCTAGTCGGGGCTTGCCCCAGTAGGCCAGCAGCCCAAGTTACAACACATGCCAATACCCTATTAGAAAGCACGCACTACTTAAATGCTTCTAGCTGGAAATGGCCTGAAGTTACACCTGCCATGGACAAAAAGCAAGTCATCACAAGGATAGTTAGCATGGGAGAAAAGGCCTCATGCCCTCAGGGACTAGGAAGAAAAAAAAGAAGAAAACACAAGAACATCTCATTGTTATTGCCTGGGTGTTTTCTTACAGAACTAGTTAACCAAAAGCAAAGCAGAGAGGCTCTTTCACTTCCTTCCAATTGAGTGGCTCCTACTAGACTGTGTTAATTTGGCCGACAAGGCTGAATTCCCCCAGTTCCTGTTAAACAATTCTCCACCCAGCACATTGAGCGCAACAGGAATGCATCCTCTTTGTTACTGCATTGCTGAGCTGCATGGCGAATCCCTGCATGGCTCCATATCACTCAAAACAAATGTCAGGTTCTCATGAAATATGCCAAATTAAAACACACAAACAAGAAAAGCCAACCTACACCAAAGCCACCCCCTGCCAAAGGAAGGGGCAAGCAACCTAGTACTCCCTTCCATCCCACCCCCATGGAAAGGTGGGATCCAGACACACTCCATTCACCTCCTTTCTAGACTCCCAAGAGCTCTCTTATCTCTCTGAATCAGGAGCTAGAGTGTGAAAAAACAACTCTTGCGGTTTGTGCAAGAACACTGGCAATCCATGCCCGTTTGGATAAGATGTGGAAAGAGCATCTCCTTTTGCCAGATCTGCAGCTCTGCATCTTAACAGCACCTCCCACCCCCACAAAATAGAAAATGACATTGCATAAGTCATCCAAACTCATATTAGCTTGGGCCTGTAGGCAAACTCTGTTATTCCACTGAGCCAACTAATTTTGTTGCCTCCTCCCCAGTTAATCACTCAGTGGATCACAGGTGTAGGCCATTTACACATTACCTGCATCATCTTGCACTTGGTTGCCAGATGGGGCTCCTCCGGCATGGACACTTGCACAGCCACCCTTTCCCACTTTGGAAGGCATTAAGGCTACATTAGCACTCCAAGACAAGGAAGTTGCATGATATGGCCAAAGGTAGAATTTAACCCTGTGCATCCTACACATTAACAAGCTTTTTATAGATCTGGATGTTTGCACACAAGAACTAGGGCTCAAGTCAACTTGCATTTGGCAGATACTGTCATCTGACTACAGAGGGCTGTGGGCTCAGCAGGTCTCTGTACCTACAACCCCCTTCTCATCCGGAAAATAAGAAGGGAGCAATAACTCCATCACCTGCAAGCTTAAGGATGCATGCAATGGGTGAGGACTTCCATGCCATTCAAGAACTGCAGAAGGCACTAGCCACAATCCCAGATCCTGCTACCCAGCTGCAAACAGACTGAAGTACAAAGGCAGTCTCTGGCTCCTCCTGTGTACTTTAGTGAAATTATCTGTTACATCTGGCCAGAGTACAACACAGACCCCAAAGGTTTCAAGGCCTCTACAGCAGCCTTGAATTGCCAGGGCCAGAAGTTTCAAAGTCCGCCATGAGAGGTACGGACTGGAGCCCTCTGTGCAGGGAGAGGGTGCAGTTCAAGAGCACAGTACAAGCTGTTCCTAAAGCCAGGGAACAGTTTACCTTGATGCTGACAAGTGCATGGTCACATCCCCTCCTTGTTTTTTTTGGTCTGGTGGGTAGGAGTGGCAGGGGAGGGGAAAGCAGTCTGTGTTGGTCTCTTTCATGTCATCTCTCCTCAAGCCCTTATCTCATTTGGGCATTTAAAGTGGCCAATACCAGCCAGGCCAAAGCCTTGCCATGCCATTCTTCCTTGAGACACTGTTGCTGGGGTTTTTTTGCTCCGAGGATAGCAGAAGGGAATACCTGTTGGAGTATCTTGTCACAAGTTTTACCCTCCACCCTGCAGCACTTGCCAAAAAAAGCAAAAACAAAAAACAAAAACACCAACCACACACACACCCACCCACCCACCCCTTCCCAGCCTCCTTCCTCTGTTTGGAGGGCCTAACATGGGGCTCATCCTGAAACAAGAAGGTCTTGATTGATCTTGGGCAGAGCCCTCTCCAAAAAGCTGGGAAAAGGGGTGGCAGATGACTCTGCTCCCCAGGATTGCCACCAGCTGGAGTTTTTAACAGGAAGATCCTCCCTCCCCATCCTCCTACTTGAGCTTCCATCTCAAACACAGGAGACTCAGTCAGGTTAAGGACCAACACATCCAAGTTACCAAACAGCTGAACCACAGAGCTGTGTGTCAGATATAGGCAGGTTTAGAAAGTTAATGTGCATTAACTTCCCTTCCCAACAGAAGGATCTTAATTCAATACTCCCTTTGCTTGTTATCAGCAACAGTTTTGCCTCCCTCCAACTGTCACCTGGTTTCCTGCTATCCAAGAGTGCCCTTAACAGCCAGGACAGGGACCCGAATACTCTCACTGGACAAAGATTGCTCATTAGAGCCAGCTGGACAATGCCGGGGAAAAAAAAAAAAGTTTGAAGCCAAGTAGGTCTGGATGCCTGGCCAGCATCCCAGCTGCACAAGGGACAAGCCAGCGCAAAGGAAGCTGCTGCCTGCCCTGTTCTCTGCTCTGCTTTCTGCTCCTAGCAAGTGGGCCCCAACCTCAGCTGTTTAAGACCCAACATCTTTCACCCGCTGCTCAAGGAGGCCACTGACCCCAAACTATCTTCCCCTCTGTATCAGAGGTGCCATTATCTTATCCTAAGGCTCTCAGGATGAGCTCTGCCCAGCTTTGCTCACTCAGTAATCCCAGCTGCCTCTGCTATCGTGCGGCGTTACATAACCATTCATCAGATGCAGCTCCAAGCTAGGCAGAGATCCTGTTTACACGCAAGCAAGTCGCATTTGCTTCCTCCACACCCCCAAGTGTCCAGAGCAGCCCAGCACCAGACCCTGCCACCATCTCCCCCCCACCCCAAGTCCCATTACCGCTCCACACTCGGGGAGTTTCTCCAGTAGTGTCTGGCATGCATGCAATAGGCTTGGGGAGCCATTTCAAGCGTGCAGACACGCGGGATGTTGCCTAGGAGGCTCAGGGGTTGGCCCAGTCCCTCGGAAGAGAAGAGGTCAGCCGTCTAGGATCGGTCTGCACAGACCCACCAGCAGACGTTGCCTCTGCGCTTACTTTTATTCTTGCAAAACCCAGGCTAGGCCAGCGGGAGGGGAGGAGACCCAAGGAGGGGATTTTGCTTGTGGGAAGAAAGAGTCTGCTGTGCCCTGTGGCTCCCCTCACAGGAGGGAGGGGAAAAATAAAGAAAAGTCAGAGGAAAGAAGAAGGGAAACTGAGGGGAAGCCGGGGCTCAGTGCAGACAGGTGATAACCCAGAAGGACCATCCCTTGGGGAGCACCGCCAAGCCGGGCAGCAGCCCCGCAGCAGGGCCTCCCCCCAGCCCGTCCCGTCCTGTCCCGTCGGGCCTCACCTTCTCCACCTGGTCCCGCACGATGCCGGGCACGGCGCGCCCGCACCCAGCACCGCTGCCCGCACCGCCCCCCTCCGCCCGCTTTATAGCGCCCGCCCCGCCCCGCCCCGCCTCCAGCCGTGTCCCCTGCCCCCATGGCTGAGCTGCGGCAAGGATGGAAAACTAGGAGGAACTGGGATCCTCCGCAAAAACCCACCGGAAGCTTTGTGTTTTCCATTCAATCGTATTATTTTGGGGGGTGAGGACCCAGCACCGCTGCCCGCACCGCCCCCCTCCGCCCGCTTTATAGCGCCCGCCCCGCCCCGCCCCGCCTCCAGCCGTGTCCCCTGCCCCCATGGCTGAGCTGCGGCAAGGATGGAAAACTAGGAGGAACTGGGATCCTCCGCAAAAACCCACCGGAAGCTTTGTGTTTTCCATTCAATCGTATTATTTTGGGGGGTGAGGACTGCCCGCCCACATGCATGAATTAAATCCACTAAGGGGTTGCATTTAAGCTTTTTAAGCTCAGTGGTTCAGCTTAAAAACAAACCCTTCCCATCCAGGAATATATGGAGCCTCAGGATCCCAGCTAAACAGAGGCTTGGCAAAGCCTACATCCAGCGTGCTTGCATCAGAGGCCAAAGGGCAACACGCTCAGCTGGAACCGGGTTTATCTGCAACAACATCATACAAGGAGAGCAGGACCCGGACGCCCAGACAGGGCCACGTGAAAATGAGTGCCAGGGGTCCTGATCCAAATGCTGCTGCTTTGGCTTATCCCTGCAATACCGGTCTCTAGTCTCCTGCATCGCTTCTTACTGGAAAACGCAAGTCTCCTCTAATACTGTTGCTCTTTTAAGATCTTGTTTTTAGTTGCTTTGCAGCTGCTACCAGACTTGAGTTTCTTGGCCTGAACTTTTCCATGTTGGGTTTCTGCCGCAGGCTGAATTGGTTAGAGGCAAGGAAAGTGTCCCTCTCCCCCCAGATTTAGAGCAAGGACTAAAATGAAGCACAACTGTGACCTTTTCATTAGGGTTTGTTTTTGGTTTTTTCCTCTCCTTGCAAAAATCCACCCACATCTGGTCAATAAGCCTGTGCAAACCCTTCACTTGCACATGCTTGGCAGAGCCTTGCTAGGTTTTAGCAGCGGAAATTGCTTTCAAAACTGTCCTCACTGAACATGCTCCACTTGCTCATTGCTCCGACCTACAGCTTGGACATGGCTCTGCTCTGGGCTGCGGAGGTGAAGCTGGCATTTCTCTGTAACACCAACCCACTCCTGCGACGGGGCTGGCGACCCAAGCCAAGATCAGTAAACCCACCGCAGGCATGTGGGGAACGCAATGGAAGTGGATTCAAACAGAGGCCCCCGGGCCACACACCGAATGATTTGGATTAAAGAGAATCCTGTTTTGCTGTGAGCACTGCTATTCTGGGCTGAGTGAGACAGGAGATCAGTTGAAAAAGTACTATGTGGTCATGTATTTAAGGACTGGTGTGGTGCCCATATGCAACAGAGCCAAATTAAGGTCACAGGCAATCTTTACTCTGGCGTTTTCGAATGCACGCTTGTCTTTGCAACCTTCTGTTCACTTAGTTTAGATTTTTCTGATATGTGCAGCCAAGCTAGCATCTGCCTGGTTTCAGTAGGCTTGTTACATTTTGCAGCCTATTATTAGCCAGACAAGGCAGCTGGGTAAGAGCGCCAATTTTGAAGCCATGTCACATTTGCATGCGGTGCATCTGAAGGAAGGTCAAATCTCAACTGTTTGAAGTCTGGGGGCACAAAGCCATGACCCTTTATCAATGTTTCACCTAAATGACTGGTTTGTATAAGCCAAAAGGTGCTAGACCTGGGAAGAAACTTCTCTAGCTGGATACATGAAAATGTATTTCCTGTGATCAGGGAAGATGACCACCACCACTTCCTAGCTACCTAGAGCGTTCCTCCATACAGCCTAGAGCAGTGCATCTCAACCCAAGTTAACTCAAACTTTAAAAATGGGTTCTCCTTTAAAGGAAAAAACCATGGGAAACTGGGGCTTTTCCCTTGCAGGCCTGCAGACTGCGAGGGGCTGCTTGGTCCCCCCTGCCCCACACACCCACCCCCTGCCCCACACTGGGGGGCTGGGACCTGGCTATCGGTGTTGACAAGTGGGTCCTGGTACAAAAACAGGTTGAAAAACACTGCTCTAGAGGGACACGTACCAGGATTGAGCTGGGCCAGGACAGCTTCCACCTCCGCGGCTCGAAGACTCCTATGCCTTCAGCAGTCTGAACAGCAAGAGACTGTGTTGGAATTGCCATCTCGACCCAATCCTAAGCGAGGTGGGCTGCAAAACCTGAATTAGTCTCTCACATCCTTTTCTTGCCCAGCTTTCGTTTATCATCTTTCTGTCTTGTGTAGGTCATGACCGTACTAAGCCAGACTTATCTCTTGCAACAGTCAGGTTTCAATGGTCCGTAGGACCAGAGGCTGTGCCTGTATTTCCCCAACAGTAAATGAGTATCATATAAATGTTTTCTCTGTTTTGCCCCCACTCCTGGAAGGGGGGCACATCTCTTTTTCCCAGAAAGGAAGCAGACTCAGACCTTGGGAACTCTCAGCATCTCAACTGTTATAGGAAAAGCCCTGCCAAATGGCCATTTTTCTCTAATAATTCCCTACAACCAGAGGTCTGGTGGTACTCAGTATTTAGAAATGTGGGGTTTTTTTGTTATTAAATGTTTATGGGTGGGAATATAAAGGCTATTCTCTGTTCCGAACCCTGCAGGCAAGCTTTGGTTGTTTTTTTTTGGCTTGCACAGCGAGTGGTTGCATCAACACCCTGTACATCCATTTACCCCAAAATTTATGAAATTTAATTAAGCTGGAGGAAAACCAGTCCCAACAACTCATATTTCCAGCCTGAGGCAATAAACAACACCCGTTTTGAACATTTTTTTTATTGCGGGTTATGTCTTATATTCATACATTCCAATAGCAGATACAATACTGCATATTTTGTACGTGTAATGCTTTTAATCTTGTCCATTTATATCTAAATTTGTGTATGCTCCTGCCCACACGCCTGTACCTTCACTCACTTCTTTTCACTACTTTCACAGCAAGTCTCATTCTGCACCTTGCCAAACTCAGTTGTCAAGGTCTTGTTCAAAACATCCAGTTCCTCCCCCCTTTCCCCCTCATTCTCCCTTAGTCTAACACCCAAGACTGACCCTCTATCAAACTACATTATGGTCCTTGTTTTTATCCATTTATAGCCAAGGCATTTGACATTAAACTCATTTTTCCATTTTTAAACCTGTAGTAAGAGCTACTGATTTCTCCCTCCCACTCCCCCGCATAGGTGACCTTGCCCACTTTAAACCAGTGTGGAATTCAAGTAGATCAAGCTCTCTTCAACCATTCTTGACTACACATTTAAAGTACGACTTTGGCCCTCTTCAATATGTTGAATTATACCAAAGGTACCGTTAATAAGCACAAGAGGTATAGGGAGGGAGGGTGGGAAGAGAAACTTAGAACTGTAGTAAGTAGGCTCAACCTCAGCCAGAAAACCAGATCCACAATTCAGTATTTGTCATTTTTATTCAATTACAAGCATTCAAGTCGCATTGAAATTTTTTCAGACATAAGTGAGTCTCCAGCAAGCACTGGAGTGGTGTCTCAGAAATGAGTTGTAACTGCTGGATCACTCCCATCACTCTTCCTTTCTGTTTTGAGATTGCATGAAAATACCTAGTAAGCCATCCCTTGCAAGTCAAAAACCCACTGGTTTGAATGCAAGATATGCTGCAGGGTACCTATCACTGCTTTGATTAGGAACACTGGTTCATAGTTTGTTTTAGCCAATTGTATTTGAATAGAAAGATTTCAGCAGCCCCTTGGTTGATTGCCATTCAAGGAAAAACCATTTAAATTTGCCTAAACTAAGTGGAGGAGGGAGGAAGGGGCAAGGTAGGAAGACAGGCAGGGGTTCGTCCTCTCCACTGGGGGGCAGGGGAACTACACAAAAGGATACTAGGTTGAGAGGCAGGTAAATCCAAGTTGCTGCCGCTTTTTAGAATCAGTTCTACTTCTTTCACTGATAGCAGCAGCACTTATGTAACTCATATGGATACTATAAGTTTTCCATTTTAAAAGTGGGTATTACTCATCCCTTGCAAAAGCAGATACAGCATAAGCTAGACCACCCTCTCCCCCCCAATGCTTCTGGTGACTGGTGTTAGGACTAACAACCCCAAGTTGAGGATTCTTGTTTCATATAGAAGCTGCCCAGTTTCAGGTGCAGTCTATCAATTATACAGACTTGAGACCCAGTGATGCACTAGACTGCAATGCCTACCTGGTACTGCTGAGCTAACCCAATCTCTCTTGCTAGTTTTCTCTTGTAGCAGATCTGATGTGCACCCTTCCTTGTGATTGGCAGCTATTCCAGCAAGTTTTTAAGCTTAGTGCATTTGACTTCCTTCCCTTGGTAGTGAGAAGTTGGAATCATTAAGTCCCAACTGTAATAATATTCTAATTTACTGATTACAAAGTTTTCGACGCACAGGCCTCATTGTGCAACAGGCAAAAAACAATACATTTGACTTGCTGATCTACACCAGCCTACTGTTTTAATTATAGCATGCTTACCTTTGTGTACTAAAGACAAGGTTATCAGAAATGCTATCTGAATTACCTGTTTCAGATAACCCGGCCATAGCATCATACTGTTTATGGAATTCTTTAGTTGTGATTGCAAGTGCTATACAGCAAATCTGAAAGTCTCTTTAAATAGAAGGCATGCACAAGAACTCTAGCAGGAAGCAGTGCTGCCATACAAACACCCACAAGCCTTCAGCTCAAAAGCAGCTTAATTTGCTTGAGCAGTCTTAAAGGTGACGCACATTTACACTAACCTTTTAGAATACCTGTAGTCTTCTACCTTTTATTCCTCCGCAGAGATCTCTTAAGCAGATGTATTGCATAGTTATTTTGTACTGCTGCATAAAGTTTACAGGGAATCTTAACTTCTTTGCCTTCCATCTCCCATAAAGATATTGATCCTGAAGTCCTCAAATACTTGCAACTCATCAGCCCACAGATGCTATCTGGCCACTAATCCACATACATTGCATCTTCCATTAGTCACTCATTTTCTCTGGGGTTTGTCTAAGCAATTAATTTACCTTATTTGACTAGGAACTGGCTACTGGAGGGGTAAAGTCTAATGTTGACTGTTCAAAGGTTAGTCTAATGCCAGAGTTAGCATACTACAAGAATTCAGGGAAACTTGACATTTAGACCTCATCACCTATTCAACATGCACAGCCCTTGCAGTGAAGGTAATATACTAAAAGGGACAGTAATTTGGTTTGTCAGCTATAACGTTTGCCACACTACATGAACTACAACTAAGCATTTGCTTACTAGTGTAATTTAAAGAGACACTGACTTAGTGAATGCAACAGCTTTATTGGGATGAAGTGCAGTGAAATTATCACATGGATGCCAGCAGCATATAGCTAGTTCAGTTACCACCCCTCAGGCGCAGCACCAGGTGCAGGGTAGACTCCTTCTGAATATTGTAGTCGGACAGGGTGCGGCCATCTTCTAGCTGTTTCCCAGCAAAGATGAGCCTCTGCTGGTCGGGGGGAATGCCTTCTGTGTCCTGGATCTTGGCCTTCACGTTCTCGATGGTGTCACGGGGCTCCACCTCGAGTGTGACGGTCTTGCCGGTTAGGGGCTTCACGAAGATCTGCATGCCACCTCTCAAGCGCAGCACCAGGTGCAGGGTAGACTCCTTCTGAATATTGTAGTCGGACAGGGTGCGGCCATCTTCTAGCTGTTTCCCAGCAAAGATGAGCCTCTGCTGGTCGGGGGGAATGCCTTCTGTGTCCTGGATCTTGGCCTTCACGTTCTCGATGGTGTCACGGGGCTCCACCTCGAGTGTGACGGTCTTGCCGGTTAGGGGCTTCACGAAGATCTGCATGCCACCTCTCAAGCGCAGCACCAGGTGCAGGGTAGACTCCTTCTGAATATTGTAGTCGGACAGGGTGCGGCCATCTTCTAGCTGTTTCCCAGCAAAGATGAGCCTCTGCTGGTCGGGGGGAATGCCTTCTGTGTCCTGGATCTTGGCCTTCACGTTCTCGATGGTGTCACGGGGCTCCACCTCGAGTGTGACGGTCTTGCCGGTTAGGGGCTTCACGAAGATCTGCATGCCACCTCTCAAGCGCAGCACCAGGTGCAGGGTAGACTCCTTCTGAATATTGTAGTCGGACAGGGTGCGGCCATCTTCTAGCTGTTTCCCAGCAAAGATGAGCCTCTGCTGGTCGGGGGGAATGCCTTCTGTGTCCTGGATCTTGGCCTTCACGTTCTCGATGGTGTCACGGGGCTCCACCTCGAGTGTGACGGTCTTGCCGGTTAGGGGCTTCACGAAGATCTGCATGCCACCTCTCAAGCGCAGCACCAGGTGCAGGGTGGATTCTTTCTGGATGTTGTAGTCAGACAGGGTGCGGCCATCTTCCAGCTGCTTTCCAGCAAAGATGAGCCTCTGCTGGTCGGGGGGAATGCCCTCCTTGTCCTGGATCTTGGCCTTCACATTCTCAATGGTGTCACTGGGCTCCACCTCAAGAGTGATGGTCTTGCCGGTCAGGGTCTTCACGAAGATCTGCATGTTTACCTGCGGGACACGACACACAAGGACACTCTTTAGCACCCCCTGCACGTTTTCAAGGTACCTCCGCCCTACCCATGACCCCACAGCGCGGGAGAACTGCGCGGGGCCGGATGGGGCCGCGGGCTCGGGCCG